ACATTTTAAATCAATAGGCTACTATAAGCTGAATAAAAAACAAAACCCCTCATATAATTTGACTATTTATGGTTGAACTTTTTATGAATAGTAGGCACCTCATTTTACACACCAACTGTTGAAAAAGAAACATTTATTTTTTTTATTATTACAAAATTTTTTTTTGGTCAATATTGGAAAGCGTCCATTATTTGTTTAGCCTCATTAAATGAAGAGACACTCCCCCTAGAGAAACCCACGCTTCAGTGCCTCTATCAACATATCTGGCTGATAAAACAGGAGTGCAATCTCAATGGATTTTTTTTTTCTTGGGGGGAAAAATAATAATAATAATAAAAAGAAAAAGACCCCCACAATTTTAAGCATTATCCGACGCATCCCGCTGATGTTGGATGGTGAAGCTCGGTGGGCTGTGAATCATCATCAATAAAGCATCATTTGACTATTTTTATAAATGAAACGTACTGTTATATTAGTATTATTATTTGTTAGTCTTTTTTTCTCTATGAAGTCTACAGTTCAACAGTGTTTTTTTGTCTAGCCGTCACAATCGCCTCTATATGCGAGAAAGAGTTGAGTGTGACTGTCTCAGCGCTCGGTTACATACGGGTCTGCCGCTCCGCAATGGGGGTGGAGGAAGAGCCTATCGGATCAAACATGGCTATACAAAAATAACGAGGACCTCTATCGATCGACGAAAATGAGCTAATAAAAAACAAACATCTTAAAATGGAGGTTAGTGAGTATCGGACGCATTCAGCGAGAGCAGAGCGCTCGGTTTTGATTCTAACCGAGAGCGACTGAAGCATCACCGCAGTGACATTCAGCACAAGTGCGCACAAAGTGGCGACTTCACTGCGAAAGAGGCATCGGGTTATTAAACCGCCAACTATCATGGAGGAAATCAGCAAGTGTGACGATGATCGAATGCAAAGACGACCGAACGTTCCATTGCTTTTGCAGGATTCCATAATCCAGTCCGCGGATTAGGATAGAACGCTTTTAAAAACTTGATCCTCGTTTTACCTGATGGACGCTGCGTACGTTCTCGTCGTTGAAACGCGAGCCGCTATTTCTTAAAAGAAAATAGGGGAAAATCAAGGGTATGTGAGGATATTAAAGTATAAACTGGCTTACCTTCCTCTTGGGCATTTTTTACAAAATTTCCTGTTACTTGTATTATTAAATTAGAAAAGCAGGTATGAACCTGTGAGGTGGGGGAGTGAGTTACACTACCACCGAATACAGGATCAATATCTAAAACACCTCTGGTAATAACATGTTAATATTATGCAGACCTTAGACTCTACCCTCGTCTTTGTCCATTGGTCAGTTCGGTCCACACTTAACCGCCATTCCTCAAAGCGATTGGTCTGTGAGGCAAATATGTTAATATAACGTGCTCAGACATTGGTTTGAATTTAGGAAAGTTCTTCAGCATGTCGCCCTCATTGGTTACGCGCTCTCTGTATGCAAATGAGAGCGCTTTGTATTGGTTGGGTTTAAAGGTCCGCGCGAGAGGGAGATAAGTGACGACAAACCAATCCAGGCTTGACACCACAAGCTCGGCTGTATGGGAAACGTATTCGCGGCCTCAAAAGAAATGCAACCATACACTGAAAAAGAGAAAAGGTGTCGATTAATGTGCTAAGTAACTCTGCAACATATCGAATAATAGAATAACATTTACTTACCTCAGCTGACGCCCCTACTTCAGTATCAGTGTTAAATGAGCATGAATGAATTCAGGAAATGAATTTTAAAACTGGAATATTACTACTTAAAGTTATTTATTGAAATACAGTAAATCTCACCGAAAGGTCACAGGAGAGGTCACATTTCACCCCAAAATCAAATGAGAAAATTACCTTAACCCTTAAATTACCTTAAAATGACTGTAATACACAACACCAATAATTTCCTTATTTAAATAAGCATAAATTAAAAGTTGTTCAATAAATACTACCATGATTAATAAATAACAATAATTCATATATGTGGCAAAAATATCTTCATGGTCGATTCATTATTTCTATAGGCCTATATATCAGAGGTGCCCAAACTTATAATACGAAGGGCCAAAAATCAAACTTGATTGAGGGCCATTTTGCATTATATCCAATTATATTACATAAAATATTAAATAGAAAATGTAAATAATTTTTTTTTATTTTACATCATTTTAACCAATTTTAGTAATATTGTTTTTTAACATTTCAATGCAAAAATAGAACAAAAAATGTTAAAACAAAAATATAAACTATAATTGAATATATGCTTCAATGGCATGTTTTTCCCCCTATTTTGCCCCTTCTCTTGTGTAATGACATAGTGGGCTAAATCAAAGTTTATCATGGCCAACCTTGGCCCACGGGCCCTGGTTTGGGCATATATGGCAAAACATCATTGTGGGTGAAATGTGACATACAGAAATGTGACAATTTTCTTGACAGGTTTCATGAGATTCACACTATAAAACTATAATTGACTCATCATTGATATAACTGATTCACACTTGACGGTCATGTGATTTCAAGGTTAAATGCATAGAACCATTTGCCCACACACAATAGCATCCCTCCACAATGACCTCACAATGGCCACATCTCTGCCACAACCTTACAATGGATGGCATTCTACAGTAACTTGACAATGGTTAACATTCTACCATGCTTCACAACACACATGTACCTCTGGAAGCTTGCTGCCACTCCAGAGAAGACAATCAGAGATTTCTTGTTAATGACAGAGGATGTTCACGTAGCAAACATAAATTTATAGGTCACAAACATCTATGGATCTGATTCTGGAGATCACTCCATACACAATGTCATGTGCTGACTAATGGTTATGCATATTCCAGTGTGTATGAAGTTGATGACATCTCTCTTTCAAAAGCTTGTGGAAAGATGTAACAAACACACTTAAACCAAAAAAAAAAAAAAAGAAACTGTATTTGAATGATCATTGAGGATTACTATTTCAAATGCTATACAATACAAAGTCAGATAAACAAATAACACACAAAAAAATCAACCTCAAGCCATTGTAATACCATAAAATAATATAACTTGCTTTCACAATGAACGATCAGAATCAGAATCAGAATGAGCTTTATTGCCAGGTATGTTTACACATACGAGGAATTTGTTTTTGTGACAGAAGCTTCCACAGTGTAACAGAATGACAGTGACAGAACAAAAAAACACAGATAATAAAAAATAAAAATAAATAAAAAGTAGAACAAGTAAAATAAGGAATAAAAAATATACAAATCGACTTGTAGTGCTACAGCAACCTGTGTGCAGTGCTTTGGAAAATTGATTGATGGGTGAGCATTAAAATTAGATATTAAAATGTTAATTCACAGATCTCATTCAATTGTCAGTGAGAATTTGGACAGAACAATAAACTCACCAACATTTTAAATGCACAGTGAGTACTAGACTAGTGCCAGATTTAGTTCTTTTAAAAATGTTGAGTAATGGTGGCCATGGGATGAAAATTCTGGGAGTCTTTTGATATTTAAACATAGTTAAAGGGGTCATATGATGCTGCTAAAAAGAACATTATTTTGTGTATTTGGTGTAATGAAATGTGTTTATGGGTTTTAAGGTTAAAAAAACACATTATTTTCCACATACTGTAAATTATTGTTTCTCCTCTATGCCCCGCCTTCTGAAACGCGTCGATTTTTACAAAGCTCATCAGTCTGAAAAGCGAGGTGTGCTCTGATTAGCCAGCTATCCAGTGCGTTATGATTGGCCGAATACCTCAAGCGTGAGACAGAAATGTTACGCCCCTTGCCATATTGTGATGATGCCCTGTCAGGCCGGAGCGATGATTCAAAAACATGAAAACCCATTACAAACGAGGCATTTGTTGCATCCAGCATACATAATTACTGATTATAATGACTTATACTGTCGTTTTACGCGTTGCGTTGCATTGCGTAAACATAAAACCCTGTCTGCATTTGTGATCAGAGAAATGACAAACAACAAGTGCTAACGTTAATCCACACTGCCCAAAACCCGCGTTTGAATCATCAGTGGCAAATCCTTTAAATGAAAACGTACTTACGTGAGTCAGAACTGCCGGCATTTTAGCCTCAAGCGTGAGACGTGGCTGACTCTTAACTTTTATAAAGAATATCTTTTTGGATTTGAGACTTTCGTCTTTGCAACTTTACAGATCTTTTTTATGCACCAGGAGCTTGTAACACTTCAAAGAGAAAGGAAAAATTGAAATCGCATCATATGACCCCTTTAAGTATTTGATTTGTGTTTATATTTCATATGTAAATCTGTCTTTGCTTTAAAGCAGCACTATGTAACTTTTTCTGTGTTCAAAATTTGCAAAATGTACATAATGAGCGAGTACATCATGAATTCATCTTCCAAACCGCGTTTTTGTCTTATTCCGAATCACTACGGTACACTCATAATAAGTACTTATATTTGGACTATTGTAGCCTGGTCGGGTCGTCACCGCTGCGGAGTAACACATAACTGCGTGAATCGCCATAGACATAAACTTAGAGAAGTAGCTAAGTGTGAAAATTTTAGATGGCACTTAGAGGCTTTTGCATCTGAACTCTTCATATATAACTACAAACCTAGAACTTATTTTAGCATTCTTATTTACTTATTTAATTGTGAATCGCCATAAACTTAGAGAAGTAGCTCCGGTTGGAATGTTCTTCCGCGGGATGTGTGCAGTTCCGTTTATTAACCGCTAGAGCGCCAAAAGTTACATAGTGCTACTTTAAGTCCAAGTATAAATTGTGACATCACTCATTAAAAAGTCACAATAAGCAACATCAACCACATTGTTTCTAGTATTTCACAACAGATTTCTCAGTATTTGAGATTGAAAAAACCCCTGAAATGCTTTAATAAATACCAAATTACAACAGTTTATATAGAGTAAAACATATCTTCTAGTTACACTAAAAAATGTAACACAACCACTTGACAAATTCTTACAGATAACCCCGCATTAATAAAGAAAGAAAACTCATTATGTGTAAGCAGGCAAACAAAGACACTGTATTAGCTGAGAATGAAAGTGGAAGTCAAGTTATTTCAGTTTTCTGGTCACTAAATTGTTAATGTAAAAAGGTTCATATTGTGCACACAAACAAAACATATACAGTGGCCCCCAAAATATTTGTACACTTGTACCACACATAGAATCACTGTATTAAATATTAAAATATCAAACCAAGAGACATTCATCAGCACAAGTTCACTTTTCAAGCAAACCTTTTAGAAAAAGAAGCTTTAAAAGTTTAAAAGTATACAACACAATAATCTCAAATTGGGATCAGTTTGTTAGATTTGAGAAAATGTCACTTGGCTAGTTATTTTGTTATCTAATGCAAAGAAATTCACTGTCCATATTTTTGGGATGTCCTGTATAGATATAATTTGAGTATTTGGCTCGTTGTTTAATCTATAAACTACAAACTTATGAACCAGACTCTCTCCTTTGTCACATAATTGCCATTAACATTTATTTAAAATGAGAGAAGGGGGGAGAGACTAAAAGTGCTGTGAGGGAGGACTGGCTCAGAGAAGACGCAGCCCAGACCTGAGTCAGCCAAGCCGCAGCATGGCTCTCTGAGAGGGCAAAGCTCTCACTCATATCAAAATCACACTCATATCAGTACTGAAAGTGCAGAGCATAAAATTAGATATGTTCCACAAGCTGTGGAAAAAACATGAAAAAAAAAGTACCTAAAACACTTTCAGAGTCCTTGATAAACTTCATAATTTTCCACTGAGGTATAAGTTTAGAGAATGTGCAAGTCACAATGGATGTTTCCCCTAATTGACAGGTCGTATGCTCTTGATTTGAATCACTCTTATCGATTACATCAGCAAGGGTTAGATTCTTACAGTTTGACTTAAACCATCTATTACACTGTGGTTCCTTAAAAGTTACTGGCCAACAGGTGAGTTTTTCTGACATTTAGGGCCAGATTTGCTAACAGCTTGCCTTTTGGTTAAAAAACTACTGTCAGGATAAAAGTATATGCATTTGTAGGATCCTTTTCAGATGCAAAATTTATAGGAGGGGAGTATTTAGATGTATCATGCAATGTGATTTATTAAGGTTTACCATTATTTGCCGCCCCAAAAAAAGCCATTTTGTGTTTGACATGGCTGTGATAGTTGATAATCGGTGCAGCTCTTGGTAGATTACATTGGTCATTATGGATCTGGATACGTCTGTGTTCTTTAATTTGCGCACTGTCAGTAGATCATCCACAGAACTTTCTCCACTCCCTTCAGTGCTTTTTTGGCCCTTAGTGTGCACTGTGCAGTGAGTGTTAACTTTGGACCCTTTGCAAACCCAACTATGAAAACGGTATCACTGAAAAAGTCTTCCTCCATGATTTTGCCAGAAAGGTTAAAAAAAAAGAGGCATATTAGCAAACTAAGCATTGTTTAATCAGTGTTTACTTCATAACGGAGCTCAAAACTAAATATCAGAGGTTTTTGGATTCCCTCTTTGTGTTTTAAAAAAATTTATCCTTTCGTATTGGCTATAAAAGCACCCTATTCAGAGTGTGACTTCTTCTATGTCATCATCAAATGACGTAATGGCCCTGACCACGGGTCGGCTCTCAGAGACATGCAGAGTGCTCCTATTGCTGGGGAGAGAACTGATATTTAGTCCATTTGGTGTGTTTGTGTCCCTCCTGCGTCCACCTCCTGGTACTGATGGGAACTGGCTTGTTAGAGGGTGGCTTAGGTTCTCCATTCTACTGGATGGATCTGAAGGCGGTGGTGTGGCAGAGGCCCCAAAAAGCTGCTGCATGAGCTTTGATTTCCTTTCCTTAACCAGGCCACCCAAATCCAGCTCTTCATCCAGTTCTCGGGGTGGCTGATTTGCATTGCGTGCACCTAAACCAGCACGGGGGGCAGATTTACCAAAAGAAGGGGCGTAGCTACCAAAAGCAAGGTCAAGATCCTTGCTTGGTCCATGTGCTCGAAGACCACCAGCTCTTCTCCCACTCGCAAATGTGTTTGTGTTCTCTTCTGGCTCTGTAAATTTGAAAATACCGTTGTGGTTCCGTTGCTCGGACAACCGTGGAGGAGAGCGGACACTTCCTGTGTCGTCAGAAAAGAAGTCTGAGTCCTGACCTTGAGTCTGCATGTCGATCTCATGCATCTTAGCCAGTAGCTGCTCTTTGCGCTGATGTTCCTCTTCAGGATGCTCTTGATTGCCGGCCTGGATCTCTAAATTTCTTGCTTTAAGTTGTTCCTCTTCCTGTTCACGCTGCCTCCTGCTCTCTTCCTCACTTTGAGATGTAGACAGGCCAATCCTCCAATCTTCTTCCTCTCTGTCCAGGCCTATTTTAAAACAGAATCACTGCAGATGTGAACATGCATTTCAACAAGTATGTTTTGGTGTCAAAGTTTGGGGTCAGTAAAGTCTTTTTTCTTTCTTTTTTTTTTTTTTGGAAAGAAATTTATGGAAGAAAAATAATTTCTTCTGATCTCATCTGCTTGCCTGTATAGTTTGCATCATCATCACACAAGCCATGATATAAAGTTAAAAAATATATATAAAGATATATATAAAGATATAAAGAGACTTAATCAACTTTTAATTTTCTGCAAATTTTCTGCCGAATTTCAACCACTGAATTTGTAAAGTGAAATAAAATGGACTGAAAATTGCCTGTCAAATATTATACATCGTATTTTTAAACAGATTGAATATTTCGGAAGTGAACTCTGGAAGGTAAATATGAATTATTTAATTTTTAATTATGAAAATGTGTGTGAAATGTTTTGAATTGAAATATTCACAGCTTAAATAAACAACTATGTTAAATTTCAGACCCTAAAAATGCAAACCCTGAAAATAAAAGGCATGAAAATGCAAGCACTGTTAATGCAATGCATTATTTTTTTAGTTAGTGCAATTCAACATGCTTTTTTGTTTCAAAGACATTTGTCAATATTTTTCTTCCATAGAAATTAATATTTTTATTCATCAACAAGCAACTTTTATTGACACAAAAATTGTTAATTATTATGTAATTATTATTTAATAAACTTTTTGTTTGCAATGTATATTCATCAAGGAATCCTGGAAAAATTTATCATTGTTTCTATAAAAATATGAAGAAGCACAGCTGTTTTTAACATCGATGATATTAAGAAATGACATCCATCACAGGAATAAATAACATTTACATATTTAAAATATACTAAAATATAAAATGTGACCCTGGACCACAAAACCAGTCTTAAGTAGCACAGGTTTATTTGTAGCAATAGCCAAAAATACATTGTATGGGTCAAAATGATCGATTTTTCTTTTATGCAAAAAATCATTAGGTTATTAAGTAAAGATCATGTTCCATGAAGATATTTTTTAAATTTCCTACTGTAAATGTATCAAAACCTAATTTTTGATTAGTAATATGCATGGCCAAGAACTTAATTTGGAAAACTTTAAAGGTGATTTTCTCAGTATTTTGATTTTTTTGCACCCTCAGATTCCAGATTTTCAAATAGTTGTATCTCAGCCAAATATTGTCCTAACAAACCATACATCAATGGAAAGCTTATATATTCAGCTTTCATATTATGTATAAATTGTAATTTAAAAAAATTGACCCTTATGACTGGTTTTGTGATCCAGGGTCACAAATAGTCATTTTGAATTGTAATAATATTTCACAATATTACTGTTTTTACTGTCTTTTTGATTAAATATATGAAGCCTTGATGAGCATAAGAAACTTGAACTGTAGTGTAGATAAAATATTTGGCAAACATCCATCCTATATGTCTGTACAAGACATATAGCTGTTTTTAGCTATATTATTTTAACTATAATTTAGCTAACAGTATTTCCATTTGTCTTTAACTGAGACAACAGAACGGCATCTATGACCAGTTACTTTCTTACCTCTGTTTCCCTTTGAGTTCTTCTCATTTGAGCTGTGCTGTTGATCAAGTCTTTGCCTCTCCTTGTCTTTCAGCAGCTCCATGTCTCTTTCTCTGTCATGCAGCATCTCTTTTTCTCTCTCCTTCTCCCTTGTCTGTTCCATCTCAGATTCCATGTCTTTTTCTTTCTCCCTTTCCCTCCAAAACTCTTGAATCTTCCATTGTTTTGCTTCTCTAGGTCTCTGTTCCCTGCTTTGCTGATCCTGCTGATATATTATATAAGAAAATAGATGACAAGCAAAGGACAGGAATAGAGTAAAACACAAGTTTATAATTTTCGCAAGGTTTGCTCAATGAAATGTTACTTATGCATTTAAAGGGATAGTCTGCACAAAAATGAAAATTGTCAGCATTTTCTCACCCTCATGATGTTTAAATTTGGCAGGTCGAACCAATGACATTTGGCATCACTGATGTCAAAACCGATGCAACATATTTAAATATAAATAAAAAGCAGCTGTTGCAGAGAATATTATTTACTTTAATCATGCTTTATGGTGTCATTTTTTGTCGTTTTTGGAGCGTGACCATCCCTTGTTGCTACTGAATTAATATGGGAAAATAACAACATAAATATTCTGTGCAACTGCTCTTATTCCCAGAACTGTTCTTAAAACCTGACTTGGGATCATTCTTAATTCAGAATTATTATTATGTATCATGGACACTCATGCTGTAAAACTAATCAGCCAGGTTACTAGTGCTCTTCTGTTGAAACTATTTGGCAGAAGGTTAGCACTTCATGCAGCAATGCAATGCTGAATTAAAGATGTGAAGATCTGCTTTGGGAGCCAGAATATGAACTACATTCTATTCTATTGTGTGCTGCATGCTGGGATACAGAAGGACAGATATTCAAAGGCAATCTTTTTTTACCCTGTGATTCACAGTAGGCTTTTGAACCTGAAAGTCAATAATTAAAAATTACTCAGAGATTAATTAACAACGAAATTCATGGGTATGTGAGCTAACTAAAAGGATTGCTAGGTGATAAAACAGAATGAGAAAGACAGAGGGAAAGGAATTTGCTAATTATTTATTTATATCTATTTATTTTTTATTTGATTATTTAGCAATCATTCAATAATAAAAAAAATTGAAAATAGTTAATAAATAATAATAGTAAATTAAAATGTATTACTTTACCCACTATCTGTGTGTGATGTATTTTCATTCTTATTAAGAGTATTACACTATTCAAAATCTACTGATATCTCCTAAATGGAGTGCTGTTTGCGAGTTGCTGTCTAAGACAACAAGCAGCTCTCTAGTTTTTGAAACAAAGCTATATTAAACATTAGGCTAATTACAGTAATGACATCACAAACTGAAGCTAATCACAATTTCATGAAATAGAGACATAATTTAGATCTTTATTGAGCAGATTATACGTGCCTTCAGAGAGAGGTAATCATCGGTCTGGTCGTCAAGTGGGAGTTTGTTGGTAAGAGTTGGAGGCGGCGATGGGAAGTCCAGTGAGGACGTCTGTACTGCCTTAGTGCTGGTTGTAATGGAGCCTTCAACACATATACAAACACAAACATGTGACAAAACGCATAGATTACAGGCACACAGAAATACATTCATAATGTTCTACTGTACCTTTTAGAGCCCCTACAACATCTCTTCAAACATATCTAATCTGATATATCTAATCCATAGAACCACGGTAATTAAAGCTGGAGTCACTAGTGAATCTCATGGGAATATAATCACCACAGGAAGATGTTTGTTATGGAGTCATTACCTGTCTGCTATTAATAATTATGAACAGAATGTTTAAGTGTGTAAGAAGGCCCTGGGAGGAAGGTGCATAGTACAGCCGTGTAATGGCACTTAGATGAGCCTATCAACAAATGCTGATCTACCTTTTCGCTTGCTGCCATTCTCTGCTTCTTTTCTGGAAGAAGCTTTTAGCATCCTATTAGCGTAGATGTTCCGAGCATCCAGCTCCTTTTCTTTCTCCTGATATAAAATGCAAAAAATTAGCATGGCATGATAGGTTTGTGATTAAATGAATCAAAATCTAACTTCGCATATGGTTTGTGGGTGTTTGGAACCTTGGAACCTTTAGTTTAGTGCAAAGTTTCTCCACTTCCTCCTGTAGTGCTTTAACTTCCTGTTGTGCATTGTGAGTTCTCCTCCTCTCATTAGCTAGCTGCCTCTGAAAGCTCCCACTGCTCAGCTCCATGTTCTTCTCCAATTCCTGATGACACATTACACACATTATACACACACAGTCATAAAAAGACAAACACATATTGAAAGCATGATGATGGATGAAGTCATTATAATCAACCATAGCCCCAAAAAGAAAGTTAATTTCCTCTGGTAACAGCTGCTGTATGCATTTTAATGGCTCAAACTAATGTATCCAACAACGTAAGAATGGAAAAAGTAAACATATAAAAAAAACAAGAAGGTTTGCAGAAAGATTTCACTTATATCTTATGCAAAGACATCATCTTAAGGGACTGGTGTCTGATGTGTTTCAGTGTGAAACCACATTTTGAGTGCTAGGGCAACATTCAATCTTGATTATTATTACACTTTTACAGGGAAAATTTCCAGAGATTTCAGTGGCCTCAACACACACACAAAAAAATGACAGATTTATAAATTTAAATTAAAGGTGTAAATGTTGTATTTAGATTTCAAAAGTGAAATGTATTATTTAATATTTATTGTATTATTATATAATTGATAATAATTATTTAAATTAATTATAATAAAATTATAATTAATTAAAAATAGATGTATTATTAATTTCAGACAAAATTTGATGAGAACATTTTAAATTAGTTTTCTAACTTAGTTTTAATTTAGTTTTCTTTAAAAAGAAAAAATATGTATACATTATAATTATACAAGAAACCATAAATTCATAAACACTTTTACTGGGAACTATGACATACATGGTCAAACATCACTCATTGCTTTGAAATTTTCAACAAATTCTTACTAATATAATAATATTCTTACTAATAATACACAAGTCATTCTTACAATTTTAACATTATCTACTTTCTTAGCCAGCAGATAATTTGACCTTGGTGACAAGTTTGAAAAGTTGACAAGCAGAATTCACAACCAAATGTTTAAGTTTGCAAGGCATAAAAATGCATAGACATGTAAGATATAGTGCTAGCTCAACAAGTAACAGTTCGCCCTGGGACGGCGGGGCATTCCTTATTGTTGAGCCCTGCACTGTGTGCTTGATTGTAATTTTTTTTTTACCTTCACTCTGCGTTCACTTTCTTGCAATTTGCCTTGAGTGTACGTTAGTTTTCGCGAGAGTTCCTCCCTCTCTCCAAGATTCTGGTCATCTGCGAGTTGCTGCAGTTTCTGTAGCTGGCTTCGACAGTGCTGGAGCTGGGCGTCCGTTTCCCTGAGGCTGCGCTCAGCTGTGCGCTGGTTCTCTTGACTGCGTCTCAGCCTCTCACGCAGTACATGAGTCTCATTGTTGTGACGAGACAACAGCTGCGAGATCTCACTTTCTGTGTCATTGTAGTGATGCAGAGCTTTCTCTTGCCGCAGCTGCATTTGTCGCAGTAAACGGTTCTCACGTTGCAACTCGTCTGCATGCAGCCTCAGTTCAGACAATGCATTCTTCAACTCGTTGATCTTTAGCAGACGTGCAGACAGCATGCGTTTGGTGACTGGGTCCACTTCTTTGGATGGAGCATCTTTACTCAAAGTTTGGGATCGGATGCCTCTTGACCACTGCTGAGGATGATGGGAGAGGGGCGGGTGACGGCGTGACACAACTTTACGTACACCTGAAAAGAACAACCAATATAAGTACATATAATTGTACTTACATAATTATTTTTGTTATGGCAAAGCTGAAATTTCAGTCTTCAGTGTCACCTGATCCTTCAGGAATCATTCTAATATGCTGATTTGAGAAGAAACATTATTATCTTATTATTATTAATGTTGAAAATAGTTATGCTGCTTAATATTTTTGTGGAAACACAAACATTACTTCTTTTTTGGGGGGGATTGTTTGATTAATAGAAAGTTCAAAAGAACAACATTTATTTGAAACAATGTAAAAGTCTTTAATGTCACTTTTGGTCAATTTAATGCAACCTTGCTGAATAAAAGTATTAATTTCTTTCTTTAAAAAAATTAATTCTTAAGCAGTTTTCCATTCATATGTCACTTGATGCTAAATGTCTCTTGTGCGATCTGCTGGTCATTATTGGTACTGCAGAACACAACAGTTATTCTCCAATTCTCTAAAAGATGCTTCCGTCTATTCAAGAGGTTAATATCCAAATTATATATTACTTCAAATAACAAAATGAAAAAAAAAAAACATGAAATTACATTTTGCACAAAGAAATTGAAACCTACTTTTAGGATCGATAGGATGTGTTGCATCATGACATTTTTATGACAATTAATCACATCTACATTTAAATTATATTATTTGTAAATTATATTAATATTTAATATTATTTTATTTTTAAAATGTTATTTTTCAAGTTTTTTTTTTTTTTGCATTCTGGATTTAGAATTGTTCTGAAATGTGCTTAACTGTGAAGAAAATAATGTTATAATGCAAAAATCTTGTTCCTCAAATTTAGCTTCATATTGTATAAGCAAAATATAGGCTACTTTATTTTGTATTTACTATATTTTTTACTTTTTGGAGTGAACTATGACCTGGCGCCTGTACCATGAAGCCGGATTAGCTGGCTAGCCAGGTAAATTTCAGTTGAGTTTGCACCAATCCTGGGTTTTAGGTACAATGAATGTGGCTTGGCTTTAGCATTGTTCATTGCCATAGTAACTCCACAGCTATCCTGCTCCTGGGCAGGTTATGTTCTGGGTAAGAGATCTCAAACTGAAAGAGACTGAACTGAGATCAGATGTGAGCAAAGTGACATGTCTGATGCAAAAAAGTCACTCCCCCAGTTTATCTTCCTCCAAATTAAAGGGGTCCTATTATGCTCTTTTACAAGTCTTGATTTTGTTTTGGGGGTGTACTAGAACAGGCTCTCATACTAGGTTGTTCGAAAAACACATTATTTTTCACATATTTTTTACATCATTACAACACCTCTCTCCTCAGTCTGGCATGAACGGCTCGAATAGTTCCTGTATCAAATGAAGGCCCGCCTTCTGAAATACGAAATGTGCTGTGATTGGTTAGCTGAGCCAGTGTGTGTTGTGATTGGCAGCACTCGGCGCCTGGTCGGGAAATGTCATGC